AAAATGGCATTAAATTACACATTATATCAATTATTCAATTACAACAAACTTAAATATAGGGGAAAAGGTAAAGTTCAATAGTTACCCTCATAAACCTATGGTAAGCCATGTCTTGTTACAGATCTGGGCTCATAATAGCGCCATCAGTCGGTCAAACTAAGCAAAATGACTGTAAATTTGATATTTATACTGAACTATGAGTTGACGCTAAAAACTATTAAATTGTTGTTTAAAATTAGCTGTATTTTGTCAGCAGATGGCGCTATGGGTTCCACAAACCAAACACTTTTCGTAGTTTACTCATTGGTTACCAATAAGTTCAACTTTTTCAAGCTATGAGTCGACTTCAAAAAGTATTTGATTTATGGACTCATAGCGACATCTTTTGACAAATTAATTCACAATATTTTACATAAATTAAAAGCTTTTTTACCGTCGACTCATAATTTAGAATAAATTTTTAAAACTTAATAGTAATTTTGCTTAGTTTGTCATCACATATATGAAATGGTGCGCAAACGGGCGCCGACACAGATGGCCACCAATAAAAGCCAATACGACCCGCGAGGACATCAAAAAGAGGACGACATATTCAACACAACACACCCTCTGTTCGCGCGGACTATAAGAAAGCATTACTCCTTATAAGAAACCATATATTCATTGGATTCCCTTTTATAACATGAAAAACATTTCTAAACCAAAAACAGATGTTTTCTAAAAACTCAAACTCTTTTAATGTTTCTCTTTTTTTTACTTTATCTTAAGATTAATACCAGATGTGGATGTGATTCGCGCGGGAAGAGAGAGAGAGAGAGAGGAAGAGTCGTGTATAAGACATACTGTTTGGAAGGAAAGGGCGATCAGTAGTGCGGGAGAAGTCGTGAGAAGTGTTTGAATGAGAGTTGCGATTGAGTCTCGAAAGTGAGACAAAGGAAGAGTTTTGGTAGTGTTTTCCCGACGATTCTCTATCTGATCCGCGCGAATGACTTCTTCTCTGTGTTTTAATATAAGAATTTAATTATAATTATTATTATTCGTGACAATTATTATTTTTATATAATTATTACCATATTTTGTGTATTCCTCTGTTTGTGGACTTATAATAAAAACTTTTAAATGAGATATTTGTGTGTAATTGTCTCGCAAAGTGTATTCCTCGCGAGATATGGCCAGAATTAGTGCCGCTTCTACCCCTGTGTTTATCCCCCAATGTCTGTCACCATTACATATACATTTAATTATAAGTCCACAACTCAAAAATCATTTAAAGTCGACTCAGAGTTGAGCGAAAATTTTGAAAAACATTTTAGAAGTAAGACTACAGTTATGACCGATTTATTAGGGTTTGAATTGAATTAGTTTTAAAATGCAAGAAATGTTATAATGTATTAAAACAATTATTTATTTAATTAACATTTAATTAAAGTATGGAATGTAAGGACAGTAAACACTCGTTACTGTAAAACAGTGAACGAAAGGCTAAACACAAAACATGTCTTCACTACTCGTGAGCGCACTCTTCGCTCGTTTATCACCAAAACATCACTGATTGGCAAACGATGTGAGTATTCATTGACTCTTCATTATCACCACCAGTGGGTCCCGCGAAGACACGGGACACACAATACATACCGTTGTTGTGAGTGTTGTGGAAGTCATTCAATTGGTTGACGTTGTCTTCGATGCACTCTTTGCACGACGAGTGACAACAGGGAAGCAGTTGTGGACACGAAGTCGTGTCCAGACGTTTGCCACAAACGCCACACATCGACACCACTGACCACACATTGGCTACACTTTGGCCACTCATTTGGTCACTCATTTCGTCACTCATTTCCCGTCAAACCGACCGATACTTGCGTTCAAAACACAGCAGTGTTTACGTTATGCTCGCGTTGTGTCTGTCGTCCCACTCGACGAGTGTCTCGTACTCTATGAATAGCCCCTAAAAATATGTGCCAAATATTTTCGTAATGCTTTGCGACTCAACTCATTGGCCGACGAGAGGGGGGACTCGTGTGTGCAGAGCACGTGTGCGCTCGCATTCACCCCAATTGCACACACATTCCACACACTCTGACACCACTTCGCCCTCGCAATGGGTTGAGTCGTGTACTGCCTCTACATTACCCCTAATGTGAGCACTAAATGTGTTGAATTGCAAAAACACTCCCGAATTCTACTCATAAATAACGTAATTTGGGGGCACTTTTGGGTACTTATAAGGCATTTGCAGAATTGGCGGCAAATATGCCGTACTTTGGGTTCGCTGTAAACCTGTTTTATGACTCGCATTCTGTGAACGCATTGAGATTTACTTATGTTTCCAAAACATATTGTTTTTGAGCTATAATTACAAGAATTATATTTCAAATGAATGTTTAGTTTATTTTTCTTTGAATACAAATTCATTTCTCTTTGACGTACTTTTTGGTCGAGAATTGGGTCAAAGATTTGTAAATTTGAATGAATTGAACGCCTTTTGAATGCACTGTCCATTTGTCGGTCACTGAACCCATGGATTATGTCATTATAATTATAATCAAAGCTAATAATAACCGGTTGTTTGCCAGAGAAATGTCTACACTTTTCCTATTGTTTCTTACAATTAATACACTATTTATGGCCAAAATGTCTACATTTTGTGTCCAATCATTGGTTTGAGTTTTCATTTGATGTCATAATTAATGCATAACTCGTCTCATATTTGCTATTAAATAGATTAATGTAATAAACATATTGCAAGTGTGCTAACTATGATTAGGCTAATATTCAATTCAAGTATCTAGGACATATGACACCCCAGATGTAGTGTGAGACTTGCAACTTGTCATTTTCTATTGTTACATGGTCAATTGTTTTAATTGACTATAGTACAAAAATCATTAATATTTTAGTTTTGTAATTTATTAATTAGATTTAATGACCTTGCTTATTAGTAACTTATGGTTGTTATGAATACTTGTTATGAAACTTATGTTTAAACCAAATGTTAATAATATTAATTTCATATTCATTAACAATTATATAGCACTTAAAATGGGAATAATTGTTTAAATATAGAAATACTACTATAAAAGTGCCCCAATTATGCAAATTAATTGAAATTAATATTTAAAATTGACATAATTTAAGGAATTTAATATATGTTTGGATTAATAATATAATATTTATATTACACTTTATTATTGATATATAAATGCATGTATATATCGATTGGTTGACTAAATATTACAGAATATTATAAATGTAAAGACATTGAAGAAAGTGAGAAACAATCCATTTATTAAACGTCAATATTTCTCCACTTTTATGCCTGAAAATGCATTATTAAAACAAATGTTAATTCTTTGAAATACACATTTTAAATGTGTTTTAAGTTTGAAAAACTCTTAAATGTATATATTTTGGTTTAAAATGCCTAGTTTATATTTATAAATAATTATAAAAGTGTAAATACAATTTATTATAATAGTAAATATTTTCCAGAATATTCTCTCACTTTCTAACAAATTAAAAGCAGATTTTCTCACAAAATCAATAACTAATCGTATATTTACTACCAGTTTCTGTCATAACAACTAAATATGAATAGAAATAGAGTTTTTTAGTTGAAAGAGATATAAATACAAAAGAAATATTAATAACTAGTTTTTGGTCTATTTATTTGCAGCAAATATGAATTTAAAGTGCCTTTTATTCAATTGCTTAACAATTATATTAATTGCCGACAAATGTTTGGCCACATTATCGCAAAGTAGTCGTACCTCTAAATCAAAGGTACAGTACTATTAGATATTACATAATAATAGTATCAATAAATTGTATATTGAATTGATTTAAACGATCGCATAGAGTGTTGTGGAGCCGAGAGGACCGGTCAACGAGTCTCTGGTCGACCGAAATTTAATCGTAACGAATCCCAAAGTGAAAGAAATACTCCGCGAATACAATGCATACAATTTAGAGACCACTTCTGTCCGCAATTTTAACGGAACAGTTCTCGGATATGTCACACCTGTAGGGCATCCGTATATTCCCCACCCATGAGTGCCATTATATTAATGCTGTGAATATTTTTCAAACCCAATCATAATTTTAGTGGAATTCTCGGGGCTATGATATCGCCAAACAGTTTGCCCTAAAGTTCACGCATTTGTCTCCCGTATGGCTTCAGGGAAAGCTCGCCGACGACGAGGAGACACTTATTGTGGAGGGAACTCATGATATCGACTTCAAATGGATGCAAACCATTCGAGCGCTCAATCCTGATATCAAGATCGGTATCAAATGATTAACAATTTATTTCATTAATTATTATATATTTTTATTTCTTATAATTGATTATTTTAAACAACTATTCGCCCAAAAAATAGTGCCCAGAATTATATTTGAGGGCTGGACTCACTCACAGTATACCTATTTGGCAACTCATCCCGAATTGGTTCCCGCGATTGCTCGACAACTTTGCGATTTTGCCAAAGTATGCAACAGTTTATCTATTTGTTACTTAATGTTTGTTACTTTTATTATAAGATATTAATGTATAATATTATGTATTATGATATGTGAGATCTTTTATGAACATCTCATGTCAAACATTCATTATTTCATTTTTTTTGTTTTTTATTATTCGTTAGTTTCAACGAAAGCTTACTTTAAAGTAATTTTTTGTTCATTTGACTTTCGTTTTACCGTAAAATATATTGAATAATCGACTTTTGAAATGCATATTTAGTTTTATTTTATTCTTTTAAACTTAAACTTCTTTTAATTTGTTTTATAATTATAATTTTTGTTTATATACAAAATATACAAAATTTAATATAATATTAATGCATAGAATTTTTAATATTAATTATTGTATTGAAATCTATAATACAGTATAAGTTATAACTTATAAGTTTTGGTCAATGATTCATTGGAGTTATTGATTAAAAGCTAAAGAATTTTAATTTCTTTCAAACCAACAGAAGTGGGAATTCGATGGCTTTGTGATCGAGTTATGGCATGCGTTCGCTTCACAGCACCGGCCGTTAGTCCTATATTTGTGTTTAATATATATTGATTTTTTGGATATTTTATATTATAAATTTAATTGAGTGACCAAAACATTGATCGCGATTTTATCACCATAAAAAACAAATGAGCAAAATTATTGTCCAAAATGTTTTAAATTAAATTTACAAGTATTATAGATAATCATGTTTTGCAGAGATTTGGCGCAAATATTCACCAAATTTAACGCACACTTCAAGAAGAATAAGATGGAGTTAATAATAGCGGTTCCGCCACCAGTTTATTATGGGTACAGCTCTTATATTAAAATTATTTCAGATATTCTTTAGTGAATTGTTATTCATATAATTGATATATTCATACGAATAGTGGCCGAAAGGGAACATTCCTTAAGGACGACGCCGAAAGACTGGCCCCTTTTGTCAGAGGCTTTAGTGTTATGACATACGACTACTCCAATACACAGAGGTTTTCAATTGCAATCAATTAATTATATTTTGTTAAATTGCTTGTAATCCAAAGGCCGGGCCCTAACAGTCCGTTTAAATGGGTTCGCGATTGTATCAAAGCCTTGACACCCAAACAGACGTCGCCTATTCGTCGCAAACTATGGATTGGTTTCAATTTCTACGGCAATGACTACTCGCCCACCGGTGGCGGACCTATTGTCGGCTCACAGTATGTCTTCATTATTGCAAACATATCCACAAAAATATGTTTAAATAATTTTGATTTTCATTTTTGTAGATATATTGAGATTTTAGACAAATACAGACCAAAACTCATTTGGGATGAGATCTCTGGCGAACATTATTTTGAATACAAGTATTAATTGTTGAAAATTAAATTTGACTCAATTATTGATTGTGTTATTGAATGGACTGTTAGGTCGGGAACGGGAAGGAATCGTGTCTTTTATCCGACTCTGTATTCACTTCAAAAGCGGATCCAATTGGCTCAAGAACTCGGCACTGGAATTGCCATTTGGGAGATTGGACAGGGATTGGACTACTTCTATGATCTCCTATAACCACACGATTCATAAACTAATTAATAAGTCATTTAGCGAACAATCATTACAACTCTAATCAAACAAATGGCAACTTTTCAGTCGTTTATCCAATAGTTTAGCTCAAAATTTTAAATGTCATAATATTTTTGCACAAAAAACTAAACGGTATTAAAAAATATGATTTTTATTTACCGTATTTTGTGGCGAATATTCTATTTATTCAAATATTGGTTAAATATATAATTGAATACATTGTATGTCCTATTGTTTCCATTTATTTGCAGTGATTATACAGTAACGAGTGTTTACTGTCCTTACATTCCATACTTTAATTAAATGTTAATTAAATAAATAATTGTTTTAATACATTATAACATTTCTTGCATTTTAAAACTAATTCAATTCAAACCCTAATAAA